AGCTTGCCAATTAACTTGGTTAAGGATTTTGTGCCATTTTTGAAAGCAGTTTTGTGTAATCTATAATGCATAAATATATGTATAACATATTGTACAGAATTACTTATTAAATATAAAGTATTTTAATTATAATTATACATATTATTTTAAATACTTAAATGTATATAAAATATTTAAAATTAACAATAAAGTTAAAAGGCATGACTTTATATTTAATTGGCTGAAGCTGAAGAGAGTGAAGTGAAAGCCTTCAAATTATATTTTATGAATTTTCAGAAATGTCCAGCTTCTGCTTTAACTGATTCTGATTTAGAATAAAATTGAACCTAAAATAGGCTCAATTTTGGATACTGAAATCTTAGTTTAAATATAATAGCTGACTTTAAAATAAACTACTATGCACTGATAGTTATTTCCTTGTAACAGTTAATATTACATATTTTGTTAGCAATATTAGTTATGATTTTTTTTTATTAATTTTGTTAATTCATATACAATAAATATAAGATATAGTATGTAATAACTATGTAATCATATGTAATTTTGTTAAAAATGCTAATAGTAACAGAGAAAAAATTTTGAATATTAATTAGTTTTATTATATGATATATTCATCATTAATATATAATTGTAAATAAAAGTAAATATAGTAAACAAACATATTAAATAAATAAAAAAAAATATGAAAATATTTTTTTTGACTCAGTAAATTTTTTAAAATAAAAAAATACAAAAGAACCTATATGCCTAAGCAAGTAGTCATAAAAATAAAGCTAGAAGAAGTTAAAAAAACTCAATAACTCAAAAACAACAGCTAGCATATAAAAAAAGTAAATCAGAAAAAAGACAAGCTCATCATAAACATTAGTTAACATCTAATAATAGTAATACTAAAGGAAAAAAGAATACCAATCAGTATGAACAAATAAATCAAAAAGATAACATAAATAAAAGTATGATTTTATTTGTAAATAAATTTTGAAAGCATAAATTATAACATTAATAAATTAATTTAGAAAGTAATGTATCAACTGCCTGCCAACTTACTAATAGTGATTGTAATCTTCTCAAAAAGTTTCATGATGTAGTTGCTGAACTCAAACATAATTATTGTCCTATTTGTAAGAAATGTTTTTTTTTGATTACATTAGATTATAAAACTGAGTTTTGTGAAAGATGTAGTAGAGATAAATTAATGCCAAAAAGATTTTTACTAGAGAGTAATATGGATCTAAATATATAATAAAAATGTTAATACTGAATAAAAATATAAGTATTTATTATAAATTTAATATAAAAATTTTTGTTATTTTTAGATAAAGTATCATCCAGATTATCTCATCTTAGTCAAGTTGAGAAAATGTTAATTTCACAGGTTTTTTTATATTAATTAGTTTTAATCTTTGAGGTAGTCAATTCGGATATAGAGGACATGTAATTAACTTTCCACAAAATGTTCAAGCATTTATTACTAAATTACCTTGAGATCTTACTACAATTGATACTTTAGTTGTTCAGTGAACTGGACAAAACTGTAATAAATTTTATAACTTTAAAGTAAAACATAAGAATATCTTAGTATAGCTAAATTTTTTTAAAGAAAATAATCTATTTTATACAAACATTGTAATTAATTAGGATATCTTACAAACTCTTCTTAAAAATAGTTCTGTATTTGAAAGATTACATGCTGTACATGAAAGTAGTTCAACTAAATTGAATGATAACAATGATATGAATGATGTTGTTGATATGTCTAATAATTATATTACAAACACTTTTGTTCCAAATCCTATATCAAGAGAAACTGAAAAGTCTATTACTTATAATAAGATTAATAATTTTATAAGTTTTGATAATACTATATTTATTAACTAGTCTAACATTAAAAAAATTTTTATTAATAAATTTAAGAACACTGGTTATATAATAAAAGCATTTCTTATACTATTTTTTACTAAAAAAGCAGATTTATATAGTATTTAATAACATCATCATGTGCATCTTAGTGAATACTTTGAACATTTAATAAAATATTATGATCGAAGATTTGCATAGCATCAACAGTTCTATTACTTTGCACTAAATTCAATATTAAGATAGAGAGCATTAGAAACTGACAAACTTTATATATAGCAAAACTTAGAGGATGCATATATTACTATAGAAAATGTTTAGGAATTATTTAATACTGATAACCAAATGGTTGATCATATTATTTATTATAGAAATACTTTATGAAGAATACAACTCTACTGAAAAAAAATAAGCAATGAACTTATGAATATGATTAAACAGATTGGTACTAATGGCTTTATATTCTTTACTTTTAGTTTAGCAGATTTGCATTGACCAGATCTTTACAGCCTTATGCCAAATAGTAATATACTTACTAACTCTAATTTAGTAAAAATGACACAAATATGATATCAAAATTTGAAGAAGAACTCCATATAGCAACTTGGTTCTGTATAAGATATTTTGAACTATTATTAGAACATGTTAATACCTAAATGGAATCTGACTGATTATTGATACTGATATAAGTAGCAGCATAAAAAAAGTCTTTATATATATAGTATTAGAAAAGCCTTCAGAGCTCTGGCCTTTGACTAAAAAACTATATATTACAATGAATGTCTAATGAAAAAAATGATTACATATGTTGATTTGATTGTTATGGCTATAAATTCTAATACTTTTACCTGTATATCTCAGCAGTATCCATATCAAAAATAGCATATAGAACTAATAGATAATTTTGAAGATTATTGTCAATTAGTAAATTGACTTCAAAAACATACAAAATGTTTTTCATTATATTGTTTTGTAGTAAACAAAAACACTAAATTAGAGGAATGCTAGTTTGATTATCCAAAAGAACTATGTGATTCTACTATTATTCAACTTAATAAACATAATATTTCAGAGTTATTATTGTGTTACAATAATTTACTACTTAATCTGCATTATCAAATTTAGATTCAAGATTGAAGAGTCAATGTTAATAAAAAACCTATTATTTCTCTTCATGCTGAACTTTTTTATGTTGCAAAATATGCAGCGAAGTCAGAACCAAGATCAGCTGCATTTAATAAAATATTTGCTACAGATATTTATAATACAAACTTTGACAAACCTGCTCTAAAATCTATTCAATGGCTCTTATTATATACTATATTAGAATAAGATTTTTCTGCTCAAAAAACATTGCATCTTTTATTAATACTGCTACTGATTGAATTATCTTGTATATTTTTTACTTTTAATCTTAATGAAGATAGTGCATTATGTAAATTAACTTACAATAATAACATATAAGACACTATTAAAGCAGGACTTTCTTATCTGCAAATTTATTAAAACTGTTCTTTTGAATTTGAAAATTATTTACTATTTAATTTAAATAAAAATTTTATGTATAGTTTTTATATATACAAATGAAACCTGTATAAAAAAAATTGTATTATTCAAATTTGGTCTCAACCATTATCTCTTTGTTTTGAATCAGACTGAAGAGACTATTGTAGACTAAAAATGCTTCTTCATATTTCTTACCAAAATATAACAGACTTTCTTCAAGATAATAACAAGATACAATAGGTTGAAATATACCAACAAAACCTTACTGATATTAAAGTAAATATTAATGATCTTCTTGATTAACTGATAGATATTAAAGATCAAGAGAAAGAGGATAAATATGAAAAGGTTGAAGAAGACAATGCTGAATTTCAAGAACTATAGATATGAATAGCTGAGAAAAGTGTATAGGCTTTGCCAAATAGTTCATTTGATCTTGGAGAACATCTTATTAATACTAAACATATATGATCAGAATTGTTAGAAATATTTTTGAAACTTAGTGATGTCAAAACAGTCTTAGAACATGCTAAAAGTGATTAAATTAAAAAAAGTTTTTGTGATGATAAGACTTATATTGATCCTGTTATATTAAATGAAATATAAAAACAGATTTATAATTATGTTATTACATATTATACTATGATTCTTATTGATTTATTAAATATTCAAATAGAACCTTTATATGTGATTGTCATGAGTATAGCTAATACTGACAAATTATATATTATCAAAGTTATTCACAAACATATATTTGCAATAATGTAAGAATATGGAATTAATCCAAATAAAAAACCATCAATATTAGTTTTTGTATTGACAAGTGTTATAATTTTTAATATAAGTGGCTATATAATTTATTCTGCACTTAAAATACCTACTAATTTGAATAATATAGAACTTGTTCTGAATTTTTAAAAAAGCTTCAACAATCATTTAAAAATGTTAAAGTTATCTTATTTGATAAAAAAAAATATGATTGGGCACAAACTTCCTTTAACAATTGATTGATGTTTATGACAAGTATTTTTACAAAACAAAACATGCTATTTAAAGGTTGCTTTGTATTGTTTTTTGGTGATTTTGGTTAACTACCACCTGTTTTGGATCTTTTAATTTATACATAAAATGCTAAATTACATGATTCTATCTCTAAAGCAGATCATAAAATTTACATTCAATTTAATAAAACATTAAATTAGAGATAATACAGTAACAAGTTGATAATTCTAAAGAACAGCAAATATTTTGTAATCTCCTTTTGTGCTTGTGAGATGAAAGATCTACTGAAAATAATTGGCAATTGCTAAATAAAGAATTTTTATATTAGTGTTGCCAACAGAGCATTCTATATTTAAAAACACTATTAGACTATTTACAATTTGGAATTATATCAATAAATATAAGTTTACTAAATTAAAAAATCTTAATTAACCTGTTGTGAAAATAAAAGCTGTGCATTGTAGAACTGATGCTAGAAATGTATTTTCAGATACAACAAATAATCTTGAGCCTGTTTTATTTCTTTTAATCAGGTTTTGTATAATACTTATTTCCAATATTTGGACTAGCCAAGAATTAGTAAATAGAGCAATAAATACAATTATTAATATTATCTATAAACTAAGAAGATCACTACCCTTACTACCTACAGTCATTTTGCTTAAAATGGATAATTATACAGGTTCAACACTATTTATAAACAATATTGTAATAGTACCAATTTGACTTACTAAATATATTTAGAAAGAAAAATCAGAAACTTGCTCTCATATGCAGTTTTTATTATGTTTTGCTTAGGCAATTACAATTTATAAGTCACAGGGTTAAACTTTACCATAAGCTGTTATAAATATTAGAAATAAGGAATTTGCAACAGGTCTTACATTTGTAGGTGTATTAAGGGTTTATACCCTTACTGATCTTTTTTTTGATAGTGCTTTTTCTTTTAACAGACTACAAAAATTAGAACAAAGTACATATATGCAACAAAGATTAATAAAGAAACAAAGATTGCTTTCTTTATAAATTTATTATAAATGTAATCTTAAATATAATAGCAGTTCATAAAATTTAAATATTATTTTTTTTTAATTTTAAATTTTGAAACCTAAGAATTAGAGCTTCAGCCTATAAAACGTTGCCATTTTTTTAGTATTTAAAAAAAAATTTAAAATTAAGTATTTAATAAATATAAAATTTAATAAGTAATTATTATTTTAATTACTTTAAAAATACCAAATTTATATACTTATTAAGTAATGCTATTTAGTAAATATAAAGTTGTAAGTAGTACAACATTATGATGTATATACAATATATTAGATTAAAATTTAAATTAGAATTAATACTATATTTATATATGCAAAATATTTTCGCTTAAGGCATTTACATCAGCTTTTTTAATAAAATTTTAAAATATTAACAATTTTTTACTTTTTTTTCTTATACCTAAGTATATACCCACTAGGTACAAATAGAAATCACCAATTTTATAATAACAGATGATACGTATCATTTGAAAATCAAAATCTGTAATTTTTTCTATATAAATTGATAGATTTGATTGGTTGAAAAGTGATTATTAGTAATGATCCAAATCTTTTACTTCATAATTTAAAGAATTAGCTTGATAAATATTAGTTTAATAAACTTTTTTTTTAGATTACGTCAAAATTTGAAAATTTTATAAACAATATAAATTTCATTTTTATACGAATTTTAAATTCCCAGATCACAAAAAAAAAAAATTTTTTTCACATTTGTTTTTTGCGACTGTGATATAAACAAAATGGGGGTTTGGGCAATCGCAGTAGTAACAGTCTTTTCTCTTGGCGTATTTATTAATATCGTCGTAGAGAATTTAACATCACCTTTACAAAAACCACCATCTAATGAAAATGAAGAAGACAAGAATGATTTTGACGACCAATATTGTGATAATTCCACACAAAACGAAAGTGATTATTGGACGGATTTGGCTGAATATATGAGTATTATAGAAGAAAGTAACAAGGATAAGAACAAGAATATTATTTCACATGAAGATTAATGAAGATTAACGGTGGTAAAGACAGAAATTTAAAGTACTATGAAAATTTATTTTGTTTCATAACGATAACGATAATTAATCTGAATCAACTTCCACGGAATTTGTAATTGCTAAGGAGAGATACAGTACCATGCTACTGCGTAGCTGCATGAAAATATATAGAGTAAGGAAATTCATTTCCAATACTAAATTTTTATATTAAATATGCGCAGAAGTAGATTCAATTAACATTGTTTAGTTAATATATATAATAAATTGTTCACAGAAAGCATTACGAAAATCCGGAATATCATTCATTGACATCATTTTTTAATTATTGTTAAGCGATAAAAGATTACGTAATGGCAATGTCCAAAAAATTAGAAGACACGTAAAATTATCTTTCGGGTGTGATAGAATATAAAAAAGAATAGTTTTACACTAAAAGATATTAAAGTTAACAGGCGCGATCATAAGAGTAATCATATGATTTAACCAAGCAGCCTGCGCATAAACCAGATGACCTAGTTGCCAAGTAACCATACTCTCTTGTTTCTTCATGTTAATCATGTTAATCAGGCTATACGAACAATCTATGCTAATATAACTAGTCGCGCACCATAAGTGATCAAAAATAGACTGCCAAATTAAAATAAATAAATTCTTTCTTTGGTTAATTCATTTCTCATTCTCGTTACCTTCACATGTTATTGTACGTACGTACATAAGTGTAAGTACGTACGTACGTGCGTAAGTACATACGGAGTATATGGCAAATATGTAATGTATAGTTAATAAAGTATGTATAGTAGAGATTAAGATAGTAAGATAATATGTATAGTTCGTAAAAAAAAAAAATTCTTTTAAGAGACTTTACCTATAGCCTATACTAACCATAACACGAAAAAAGAGTAACACCCTAACTATTAAAAAGAGGTCATTTATTAAAGATAAACTTTATAAGTTTCTCTAACCATACACACATCCGTAAGTTTTCTTAGCCTACATCCATACAAACGATAGTACAGTCAGTATACATTACTTTGCAAACAGGTTTATATAATACATTTTTCTGTAATACCTGTACATACGTGTCTTATTCGTTATCGTACTTAAATACATACATATGTGCGTGAGCGATAAGTGTTTTATATCCATATTACGTTTAAACATATTCGAAAAGGTTATCTGCAAGGTAAATCTGTTAAAGGAAATGAATTGATCGCATTTTTAAAGTGTATATATATCGACATATAATTGGTAAACACGAACTTTTTTTTAAAATATTGTACCAAGCTCATCAAAGTAATTGTTTGTCTGACCTCGGAAAAAAAAGGGCTACGTCAAAAATTATATAAAACACATTAATAATTTCTAAATCCGTATTGATTCGACAAATGATTCAAGAATTTATGATAGTTCGATTCTAATAAATACCACACATAATTTAATGATCGTCGTAGGTTTCATTATTTATTCCGAAAAAACAACTCTCACTCGTTTTACTTTTTTTCCGACCTAAATAATTTCTAATTAGGAGTTGGTAACCGTTTTTTTTTTTTTTTATTTAATATTCTTATTAATATTCATACGTATAAATTATCTTATGCTAACTATTGATTTTTTTTAAGGTCAAACTCATTGTTTTATTTATTTATTTTTTTTCCTTTAAGAAAAAGAAAAAGTGAAAAAAAACCGTGTCGCCTGGACCACTTGATTTATTAATTTTTGATTCCTGATGAGTTTTCTTTCGGCAACACTTTTACTCGCTGCCGCAGCATTTGTATTCTTTTCTGTGGTAAGCGAACCATCAACGCCTTCGTGTTCTATGGTACCTCCTCAGTGCAACTGTTCCCAAGACGAAGATACCGATTCGGATATATCGGATGATTATTCAGATTTGGGTGATATTGATTATTATTTTAAGGACTATGATTGGAGTCATGAAAGTATTGATGTTCATGAATAGAGATAGGTTGGAATTAAATTTTCGAATAACTGAAATATTCGAATTAATTCGTATTAAGTATGAATTTGAATTAATTCGAATATTCAAAACCACGTACAGCTATTATAAAGCCGTTACATAGTCATTACAACACCATTATTATAAAATGTTTTAAGATTATAGGCAATTATTTTAGCCGTTATACTATTACACAACCATTCTATTACTGTTTTACTGTTAGACAATAATTGCATTATTTTATAACAAATTTGTTATACAACAAACTGTTATAATAAGTTGCAATATAAAAAGTCGTTACGTACATCACAGGTCACTATTAAAAATGTTTACAACAAACTTCTATGGCATGTATTCTTCATAAAATTTGAAATTGAGTATATTCAAGTTGACAGAAGTCAACGAAACGATGACTATGCCGGTTAGATTCAAAAGTGCTACTATTAATTCTAATCGAGCATGCGAACGAGAACATGAAACAGATAGGTATAATTTAATGAATTGATTCATGAGATAAATGGATATTTTAAATTTTCAATTAATAATGCTGTAATGGCTATACTTATCGTTATTGTCACGGTTCTTTGGTGAAAGTTGGTGCTCGTAATATGTTGTTGTCCGAATGCAATGTCCGGTTGAAAAACCAATGAAATTCGAGAGATTATGGGTCCCGTGAAAGATCTGCAATGAGTGTAACAATTATACAATTATAATAGTGTATATACACGCTTCAGACCCATATCAGATTCTGATTTCCTAGTATGTAGACAACAATTGAAGAAACCTGAAATTGAAAAGAAGGGTTAATGCTGCTGCATCAAAAAAAAAAATAATAATAATGTGAATACATATCGCTTTGGGTCAATTTCTGCTGGTTCGAAGGTCCCGTGATCAGTGTATACTTTCTGGTAATAATTGCTACATATTTATAAAAAATCAATAATCTTAAAATTTTACAAATATATTGTTTATAACTAGAAGAATATACTTGATTTATTTAAACAAGAATTATTAATAAAAATTTTTGAGCTATAAGTTTGGTCAGTTCGGTCAGTTTGGTCAGTTTGTCCACATTAAGTTTACTTAAAGTGGACAAACCCGAAAAGTCTGGTCAAACTTATAGCTCAAAAATTTTTATTAATAATTCTTGTTTAAATAAACCAAGTATATTCTTCTAGTTATAAACAATATATATGTAAAATTTTAAGATTATTGATTTTTTATAAATATGTAGTATATCGATATCGATATGATTAGTATGATAAAACTCACTTTCGGCAGATGGATTCCATTTGTATCTTACACATGCCTGCTGCCAATAGGAGGTCCTGAACAGGAGGAACCGTCGATGTTACACGACTTATCGTAGACATGTTATGATTATACGTAATCCAACACCATTTTTATTATAATATCATAACATGTATTAGCGGTATTGTAAAATAACTTTTTAATATGTTGCACACCGGGTGACGGTTCCTCCTGTTCTGGCTCGTAGGCACGATTTTAAAAACCTCCTACTGGCAGCAAGCACATGTAAGGCACAAATGAAAGTGATTTTATCATACTAATCATACATACTAAATTTCGGCTTGTGAAATATTGTTTTTACAACCTTCAAAAAATTCCACGGGAAGTCGATTTCAGACCTACCAACAAGTATAGATCAGTGGTTCGATCAAAGGAAGTAATGATGTATTTGATAGTGCCAATGTGATTTATATAAAGGGCATGAGAAATAATTAACTAATTTTTTTTCACTTCCATTCTAAATAAAAACAATATAAAAATGATAAACGTTAAACCATGCTTTCGTATTGAGACGTTGGTAACTCACCATATTTGGCTGCGATGATCCAACGCATGACGATAGTCATGCAGTGCCTTAGTGGCAATTAAAAAGTCAATAACGAAAAGAAATACCTGAAGGTTCCGATGAAATGAACATCGTCAAAAATCACCTGATATGGAGAACGGAAGATGTTAGACGTTATTATCAATGTATGATTGAAGATGAAAAGGATGGACATAGGTCTTCAAATACCGATAGATCTAGAGAATTACTTGCCCGAATGTATGGTTCCCATCGTGAAACCAGTTGTAACCGTCTTTGGAAGTTGTCTTAAAACGAGGAAAAATTCGAATTTAAAAATTAAATTCGACTCCAATCTCTATTCATGAATCAAAATAACATCTATACGTACGAATGAATGAGATGAATTAATTTTACAGTATGGAAGACACGTTATCTTTTTGTAAGATGGATATTTGATATTCCTTTTTGAATATTAAATGTAAAGGGGTGAAGTTTAGGAATTTTGTCGCGGATTTTGCTAAAGGATGAAAGATTTCCTGTGTTAAATTTTATGTTTAGTATCTTTTACTGGTATTTCTAGAATTCTAAATTTGAATGGGCTTTAAATAGGCATTAGCGAAATTAAGCAAACAATTGGTCCCCAAATTTCGATTTTGGTTACTAAATTATATATTAATCAATCAATGTTAAACCCCGAAAAAATTGATCTGCACCGATAACGACTAACCCATCTTCCCACCCCCGATGCATCTCATTAGACATAGGAATTTATTAAAATGACGCATCATGACTTGGGGAATGTTGATTATCTCTATATTTACACATTGGTAGTCAAATTTTAGGGTATTTCGCAAATGCGCCGCCGTAATAGGGCTTTTAAATTTTCGTCTTGTTAATTTGATGATAAATTTGATGCAGTAATTTGATCTTTTCCTGATTTTTTTTTTATATCGATATGATTTATGATTTACAGTACAGTATGGTATAAATAAAGGGATCAACCCTTACTTATTTTCTTAAATTATATTATATATATAAATAATGATCTATTTTGTTCTATTTTTCGCGTCGTCTTTTCGTAATTTTACCTGCTAAATATCACTTAATGTTAGATTATTCTAATTGTTCTAAATCTAATAAAATTTTTTTCTAGATCAAAATTTTATGCCCATTTTTTAAACTTTATCTTTCTTTACAATTTACGAATAATATGATTTATTTAACGGGTGCGATTTTGAGCACAGTTGCTTTAATATTCATTATCTTTGGTATAGTGATAAACAAAACATGGTTAACCAATTATACTGATGATGAATATCAATATTTACGAAATCGTTTTTATGATGATGAAACATTTTTCTTGAATGAATTAGATGACCAAATTGATAGTGATAGTGATCATGAGGTAAAAATCTTTATTAAGATTAAAAGTCTATTCATACATTAAATAATTCACTTACTCTTATCCTATTATTATTCAAGGAATCGAAAAGTATATCACTAGAATCTATCGACACTTTTATGTAATGTTAACGATATAACATAATTTTTACTTGTTATGTAGATACATTTAATACGTTAGTGTTAAATATAATAATTTAGTCTTTAAATTTATAACTTGTGAATTTTTATTTTAAGTTCACTAATATTAATAAAAATAAACAAAATACGTGTATATTATATTATTAACATATATTTATTTATTAATTTATTTATATTTAATTACATGTTCATTTATAATATTATTTTATCCTTTCCATAAACGCGTCATATATATATGTATTTGTAAGTGGGAATGGAATTATAGTGGATTTGGAATTTCTTAGGATTTTTAAGGTTAGAACGTAGGTATATGTAAACCCATTCCCACTTACAACATATCAAATATGCACGCCTTTTTTAAAACCAGTTACTACGTATAATCAATATAAAAAAAAAATTCTACGTATATCGATCGATATTCTATATTAATACCGTTTTAAATGTTGCGATTTTAAAGGTTAGATTGTACTGTATTTATCAAGTTTTAAAAAAATTGTATATAGTTTGTCTAAATATCTATCCGTAAATCACGAAATAAAATTAGAAATCTATTTTCGATAGATTATATATAACATTTAAAGATCATACAAACTTTTAAAAACTAATAATTTTAAATATACCAATAAATATTAAAAATATTAAAAAATTTGTAATCATTTACTACAATTTAGTGGCTTTATTTTTTTAAAAAAATTTATATCTATAACTTTAAAAACGGTATTTTTGTTTTTCTTTAAAAAAATCGAAAATAAAATACATATTAAAATAACAATACATTAGAGTTAATAAGGAAAAAAAAAATTGTATATTACATTCTACGATGACCTACATTAAATTATTGTAGAAATAAAAAATAAACAGTCTTAAACCTTTCTTTCAATCTGAAATACTTCATATTCAGACACTGAAAAGTAAGATTTTCCACAAGCATTCCTAATAGGCTTTTCATATGAAAAAGGTTTACAATGACAATCATTGTCCTGGTCGAACAGATTGCCCATGTAAAGATCATAACCATCACCAAACAATGGACCATAACTAGAATCACAAAAAATTGCATATTCTGGTTCTTCTACACGACTTAAAATGGAAGATTGAATAGTGCCATTTTTCAAAGAAAATATAAAGCTACCATTGCAATATATCCAATTATTAATGGTTCTATCCCAATTTGTGGGATTATATCCACCAAGGATTTCATCACTATTTTTAACTTTCATGACTACAATAGTATTTGCTTGTTTATCACACAATTTCCAAAATGTTTTCTTGGTGAAACCATTTTTTGTTCCGCGAAGAAGTAATTTAAAATCATATGGATTATCTTTTACTAAATACGTGTCAGTTTTATTATCAACCCATGACGCAATTTCCGCCGCATGTTCATCATTAATAATAGCTGAAAATGGTTCTTTTTCTCGTGATGGCAAGTTAGGTATCAAAACTATACGAGGTGGAAGAATAATTGATAATATTGGTCGATCTGGGTTTACAGCCCTTTTTAATAAATCTTTCCAAAGATCCTTCTCCAGAACAGTTTGAAACGGTTCTATATGATCAACAAAGTCATCTCCAGAGATCTGAAAATAACGAATATGAGGTAAACAATTTCGTAAAGTATTCTTTAAAGTTAAAAAATTTTCAATAGTCCAATTTTCGGGACCACTAAATTGTAAACTTGGATTTTGAGCAATTCCCCATTTAATGATATAATTCCAAATTTTTATTTCATTCATTTGTAAATCATCTCGACTGATGAGAGAGATCAAAGCATTTTCTTCAAGTGATATGAAATCTTCAGAGTCAAAAATTACATTTGGATGCTTTACCGCAATATTATTGCACCATTTTTTTAAATATTCAAAATTATTTTTAAAACTTGATTGATAAATACGAGTAAAATGTAAGCGAAGCCAATTAGGTTTTGCTTCAATCAAATGGTTTTCAAGATATTCGGCCAATTCTTCAAAAAGAAGGCCTGAAGCAATGAGCATCAGGTTAAAAATAAATGATGCGTCTTGATTTTCCAATAAAATTACACCTCCATAAATATATCTTTATTGATTAACCCAAAGATTAGTTCTCAAATATAAAATAAATATTATAAGATGTTATGCAACTTACTTAATAATGAATTCGAAATATTGAGCAGAAACATGCTTTAAATTAATCGTTTTAATATTATTTTCATCATTACTAACTTTTTCTAATTCATTATGAAAATATAAAGACCTATGTCTTAAAATAATTGAATGTGCATGAAAATTCCTTGAAGATTCTTCTGTCTTTATAATTACATTAAATTCTTCATCATTAAGTATTTTAAGAAAATCATCTGAAAGTTTTCCGGAGAAATTTGGCATTGTCATTTTTTTTGTATAAAGTAAGAGTATTTTTTTTTTTTTTTTTTGTGAATTCGATTAACTTTTCAGTAGTTATAAAGTTACACCGTTTCTATATCGATACATGAATACCATATTTTATCAAGTTGTTTTTCTGGAAATCTTTTCTGATTACGTAGAAATCAACAACTAACAATAAAAGGAAAATGTTTTTACTAATAAAATCATAGCCGTTAAATACCATAAAGGTACGTATACATGACCCGGATCTGGTACATTCCATCAATTTTTAAAACCTTTAACGTTAATAGACCTGGGGTCTATTTCATATTATCAAAATTTTTATCTATATTATATCTCTGATTAATGGTGGGTCGCACTTTTACGGTAAACGGTACATGAACCCAATGTAGCCACTTCGTACGTACATAAGTATCAGTATCAGTATACGTAGGAGTTTCAAATAATAATATCGACTAATATGACGATTTCTGTAATTAAAGAAGCCTGGACTGTGTATCTAAACATCAAAATTTTGTTGTACATCAAAGGCTGGCCAATTTATTTAAAGTTATCGTTAATAAAAAGACCTGTATATCAAACGCTTATAGATTCCGGGCGTGATAATATTAAAAAAAGAATGAGAAAATGTTCAACTATTTCTGAATATAATAAAATAATAAAGTGGATGAGGCAGATACTATAAAGAATCTGAAACTGAAGTAGAGATTGATAAAAAATTAAATCAATAAAATAATTTTGATATTTTGTAAATATATTATACTGTATATAGCTATAAGAACATATATTATTTTTCTACGAACTGATCTTGGTGTCGGAACTAGCTCAATAATCATAATAATAATTAGATAAGTCGAACGAACCTTCTTCCATATAATGCAGACAGTAAATTGGAACATAAAAATATTAAAACCCTTATAAAGAGTGATACTAGCGACCTTACGAGAATGATAGTTCAAAATTTCCCATACCACTTCACAATTCACTTTATGATTCAGTGCAAGTGTTTTTTTTTTTTGTCATACATTTTCTTACATTTCAATACTGTGTATAATGCATTCTCTTACATTTCTTTTGTTATATATTTACTAATAATTAATGAAATAACATGCTACATATAGTATGGATCTAACTAATAATCCTCTCGGCGGAATACTATAGGTTGTCAATAAGGTGTTAGGAAATGTTAGCAAAATGTAATAATTGATCATTAATTAATTGATTTAAAGGATTTAAAATATATGTCAGAATTTAATAAACTGTTTTATATATTTATTATAGTAGTAAAATATATATATATATATATATTATAGAATATATAATGACTAATCTATTTAAATATTACTTTGGTTGAATTTGAAATATTTCATATTCTTCAACTGAAAAATAATATCTGACATTTGTATCTCTAATAGCTTTTTCATATGATCCATGTTTACACCAACATTCCTCAAAATTCTTTTCCATGTAAATGTCGAAACCGCCACCAAAACATGGACCACAATCAGGATTACAATAAATTGCATAATCTGTATCTTTAACACGACTTAAAATTGAAGATTGAATCGTATTATTTTTTAATGAAAAAATAAAACTATTATTACAACTTTCCCAATAATTAAATGACTTATCCCATTTTATAGGATTATATCCACCAAGAATTTCATCAGTGTTTTTAACTTTTATAATTAAAACAGTATTCGTTTGTTTATCACATACTTTCCAAAATGATTCGGGTGTAAAACCATCTCTACTACCACGAATAAGTAATTTAAAATTGTATGGATTGTTCTCTACTAGATATTCTTCATTATTATCAATCCACGATGCAATTTCTGCTGCTTGTCTTTCATTGATAATTGCTGAAAATTGTGTCATCTTTTATGTAAGAATTAATACTAACGTGATTGTAAGGATTATTTTATATAAACAGAAATGGTTACACTACAACATTCAATTATCCATATTTATACGATACTCCTGTACTCAGTCACATGCCCATAATATAAAGAGTTGAATAAAAACGTCGGTTTAGAAATTTTCCATTAGCGTTAGTATTACATACCGATACCGCAGCACGTGATCCAATTTCCTAATCTGCTCTATTCTAAAACTAACCTTAACGATAATGCTGGTCATGCGGTATCGATAAGGTTAGTGCTGGTCATTTGCGGTTCGATAAGGCGGTTTCAGTATACAATAACTTAGTTGTTTATAGTTGCCGTTCAAACTGTTTTAGACAGGGATGGTAAATGAATTAGGTCATTTAACATATGAGGTTTTTGCCTTGAAAATCAAGATATGAAATATATATTTCATAACTTGATTTCAAGGATATGTTAATTAATATTCTAACCAATCGATTAGGAAAGTAATACAGTAACAGAGTTCGATACCTGTTACATACATACATACGTACGTATGCTAATTATCCCATAGTTTTGGCTGTTTCAAATAAACTAATTTTAACTACTAATGTAAAAATATTAAACAAGCAAAAATAAAATAACGTTATCTCTTATTATTTTAATTTAAATTTTGTCTCAAAATCACGCCCATGCGTGTACTCTAAATAACGCGCAGATGCGCGTTATTAACGCGAAAATATGATAAAGTTTGACATAGTAAATGCCGCGTGCCTACCAAGTAAAGTTCCCTCCGAAAAAATATTGATATTTAATAATTTCATAACAGAAGTTTATAGATCGTCTATAATTTTACTTATGACCCTTCTAAAATTTCAATTCGGGTCTAGAGATTGGAACCGGTTATCGTAATCGGATTTATAACCGGTTATAAATTATAACCGGCTTCATCCGAATGGTTAGATGATCATTTGAGTACAGCAGAGACAGTGCCCGATCCAAAGTGAATCCCTCTCGCTGGTGATCAATTACAGATTAAATTATTTATGTTGGATCCAATTGTGATGGATATAATCCCTCACCAGTTTTAATATATGTGTAACATTAATTGTTTCATTTGAGTGTCATAAAGGAAAGCCTGCCATCAGGCTTTTAATTAAATTCATTTGATTTATTAGTAGTACAAAATGTAATTGAGCCTGATGACAGGTTTTCCTTTGATGGCACTCATTTATCTTACGTTATTTATTAGTAATTGTGTTTGATACAAAAATTGAGCCTGATGACAGGTTTTCCTTTGATGCCACTCATTTATCTTACGTTATTTACTATAACTTGCACACGTGAAACTTGGTTTTGGCTAGAAACCAGGACGAAAGCAAATATAGTAAACAAATAGTCCCAAGTAACGTACAATCGCTCTGCCTAAAATCGCTCATAACTCAAAACTTAGCATAAGAAACCACCTTTCATGCTCTAACAAAAAGGGTTCTCCAACAATTTTACTATTACAACTATGGTGCAAGCACTCTAAAGACATCTAAAATTGTTATTTCTCAATGAATAAGTGCAAATTTGTCAAACAAATACGTAACTTTATAGTTACAGTAAAGGTTTACAAAGTTACGTATTTTTTTTTGCAAATTTATGCTTATTTAGTGAGGAATAACAATTTGAAAAAAATTCTTGAAACATCGCCACATTAATGATCAGCAAGATTTTAACAATTAATACGTATTATCGTTATGTACTTAACATTAATCTGATATTATTATGCGCCACAATAAATGAGGCGAGGCAATAACAAAGTGGCGCAAATATGATGTGACTAGAGTGCTCGCACCATACTCCCCACTAACTCCTTAACGAATTTTAAAAATTTTGTCTGCGCCACAAACCCGACACACATTTTCCGAGTGCCACCAAATTCCGGGTCGAAATACCTCGGAATTATGTTCGGCAGGGCCGGAATTAACTAATTTTGCTAAGATCACTAGAAGGGATACGTATCATTTCATCGACAATCGCTTCGCCGAACACCCCATCGCACAGAGCGATGGTTAATATTTAACGATTGTTTGATGATTAATAATTATTGTTCAATATTACTCATTACGCTGTGTGATAGGGTGTTTGGTGAAGTGATTGTCGATGAAATGATACGTATCCCACTAGAAGTTTTACTAACGAGATCAGGTGTAATGCAAAAAAATCAAAACAAAAAAAAAAATGCTTATAGCTTAAAATTTTGCCTATGAAAGTGCCTTCTGCGTACTAACAAAAAATTTTCCTCGGGAAATTTTACTATAACTATAGCCCTTTAAACCAAATACTAACTTACTGGTCGGACCCTAACCCTAAACTAATTGCGAAATGTTTTTTTCTTTTAATGGGATCACAATGAGTGAATTTTTTAAACTGGCATTGCTAGAGACAGTGTTGTCAATGGACAGCTTTGACATTTTTGGACATTTTTGAACAAAAATATAAATTTAAAATTACTTCCAATTTTGTTAAGATAATCTATATACTTTTCTAAGTAAAAAATATTCAGAACCTAAAAAAATATATAATCATATATTTTTTAGACAAATTTATTAATTATTAAAGCTTGGACATACTTTGGACACACTTGGACATTTGATCATTGGACATGGTCAAAAAAGCCTTGGACAGTAAAAAATGTACAACACTGGCTAAAGATACCCTTATGTCAAGAAAATCCATCGCTGAAGATCACTTCCGACCCTATCCGGATTCAATTGTTAATGTTAGATATATAGAGAATTTTTGTTATACTACGACCCATATTTTTTCCTTGACATAAGGAAATTCCATTGCTAGCCCCATAGATCCGACCCGGAAATTTTGTAAAAAATCTAACATAGCTGTATTAATGCAAACATATCATTGTTAAGTATTCGTAATGGTACGCGTGAATCGAGCATATTTGAATGATAGACTAAATAAGATAACGATTTCTATCGAAATCAATATGCATCCCACTCATACTAACTAGTTATTGCAAGGGTAATAAAATGGATTATATAAACTGTAGTTTAGATAATAGTCTCTATAATATATATTTTTATTAATCAAATAATCCAAGCTTTCTTAATTTATTGCTAGTAGAGACTACTTTTATTTCATACTCTCAAGAGTCTTCTGTGTCATTAACTATTTCTCAGATTGGTACAAAATTTTGATTCATTCAAGTCATTTCGAGCAGATTTCTTTTTTTCAACATGATCTAGTACCTACACGTAAATATACATCAATTCAAGTTCATATTTATGCTAAACTATTCAGCATGTTGCATACGGATACTAGTTTATAAATATTTAAAGGTAAAAAAAATAAAATTGAAGATCCAGCATATACAAAGCCTAGTCACATTTAAACTCTGTATGAATATGATTAATCTTTTTTTTAATACTTTTACTAACGCTAAACACTGTATAATGTTTTACACATATTTATGATTAGTAAAACGGTTTACACCCAAAAAAATCTTCAACCATTGACATGAAAAACATAAAATATAATAGATGAAAACGCACACATAAGAAATTACATGAATCTAATTTATCGGAATACATAAAAATAAATTTATGCTAAGGCCATTTCGAAACTAATAAAAATTTGAGATTCTCTTAATACAATTGTAAATATCTTTGTGCATTTTCGTAATTGTTAAAATTTGCATTATTAAGCACAAGTCAGGTAACTTAGTAAAATAGACTGCAAAAAAATGCTAAGGAATATGAAATTTATAATTTTCAAAATTCTATTTACAATTTAACCAACTCATTTTTTCCTAAAAACTACAGTAAATAACTATTTTATGCTATGAACAATCAATTACAAGATTTCTTATAATACCACCGCCAATAATTATTAAATTTTGTTTTTTTTTTCAGGAAATTACTTTTAATATATAAACAAAAAAAAAAAAATCCTATTTAAAGAATTAGTAATCTTTTCTTTTAATTTGTCTTATAAAATGTTCACCTCCATATCTATATTCGGAGTTACAAGGATTACATAAGCATTCATGGAATCCACCTTCGATCTTTTCAACTTGTATAGTTAGTTCTTCTAAACCTTTTATTTTGGAATTTAAAAGTTTTGTAACTTCTTTTATTATAAGTTGTTCATCTACTTCGCTTGTGACTTGAACATGTATGCTACCGATTAAACATTCTCCATCATTAGGCCAAAAACGTGGCATTGTATAAGAAATAATTCCATGGATATGTGACAACTGTCGAAATAGAATGAAAAAAAATATAAATTATGTAGTATTGAAAAATATGTTATTAAATATAATTTATTTTACCTCATGCAAGCCTTCAGTTATTTGATACTCGAGCTCATCATTAATGGTGAGCATTAATACAGCGGATGAATGTTTGATTAAAGGCATGACACTCATAAATATTAATCCAGCGATCAATATAGAAGCCAATGGGTCAAATCCTGTCCAACCAAATTGCTGGATGAGAAGTGTGGAAATTAATACTCCTATCGATCCAAACGTATCAGCCAATATGTGCAAGTAAACGCCTACATATTTTAGAAATAATATAATCTTTAATTTCTATAATGATGTAGGACAAAAAAAGTTTAATTATTAAAATATGAACCTTTCATATTCACGTTATCACCATGGTTATGATAATGATGATTATGATGATTATGATGATGTCCATGCACAATATGATAGCCATGTTCATAGTTATTATGGTGTTTATGACCGCCGTGACCATGAGAATGCCCATGATGATGTCCATGTTTAAATACGAAAATACCAATTAGGTTAACAACCAATCCCATAAAGCTCACTAATAATAACCTATCAGTTCTCATTTCTGGTGGGTCAATCAAACGACCAACTGCTTCAAAAGTTATGAATATAGAAATAAGAATTAAAAATATTCCATTTGCAAATCCAGAAAGAGTCTCAATACGTCTATAACTATAATATTCAAAAAAAAAAAAAAAGATTAACTCTGATAATCTCAAAATTTAGAACAATCGTTAATTGATAAATTACCCATAAGTGAATTTATTGTTCTCAGGCCATTTACTCATGATAGAAGCAAACAATCCAACAGCTAAAGCCAAACAATCAAAGAACATATGTATAGCTAAAGTAAACAAATGTCAGCAATAAGAACTTAATTATAAGAACCTCATAATAATAAAGCCATAACTAAGCATGTATATCAAAAACTTACCATCCGAAATTAATCCTAAACTATTAGTCCATACTCCATAGACCATTTGAACAACCATATAACTTAAATTTAATAAAAGAAAATAAAATATTTGTCTGGAGTCATCATTATCTATTATTGTCTTGAAATAAACACCTAAAGACTCTATAACACCAGATCCTTTAATCGAAATATTCGAAGAACCCACGCTACCATGAAGTGGAAGTTCGAATGCTCTGTTACCAATTCCAGGAGATGGAAATTGAGTCTCATTAGCGTACCGTACATCGGATGCTATCAGATTATAAATTCCAGGTAACATAATGCAGCACAACAAAATATCTATTATTGAAAATTCTCCATAAAACCAAAGAAGTCCCAATAAAATTGCACTCCCAATAGATAAAGGCCAACCAGTTGTGACATGAAAGAGTGGAGAAGCATGAATACTGACAGAATGACCAACAAAATAATCAAGTATTATTAAACCAATTCCTAAACATCCAAACATCATGGTGGTAGTTTTAATGTTCATTGCACAATTTGTTGAATACTACGATAATGTAAATAATTATGAATGACAATGTGACACAAATAAAACAATAATAAAACATTTCATACCATAAGATACTGGACAAAAGCCAATGGTGATATCAGAACAGCACCAAGTGGCACAGCAATAGCTGTTAAACGGCGATTCCCACCTACACCAGTAGCTAACCTTTTCCTCATTGTTCGCTTATATCCAGACAACCAAACAGAACACAGAATAAAAATATAACCAACTATTATGTTACTAAAATCATCATTTTCAAATTTATCAAAGTCTTTAGGTATAGTAGGGTCCGTGCCCTGTGACAATAATATAGAAAACTTAGTCGGTTTACCTAAGTAAAAAAGAGTTATCTTATAATGAATACATTAGCAAATAATAATAATAGCCATACAAAATTAATTTGTTGGTTTTCATAACCCGACCAGATAAATTTAAAGTTTTTTTATGCGTTATAATATCCACTGGGGGGTTTTTTTTTTAAGAAAAAAAATTTTTTTTTTTTAATTATAAATAAAATTAAAGCCGGTTGTCGAGATGATATGAAAACCAAAAAATTATTTGTATTGCCTAACGAATTACAATAATGAATTGAATGATTATTACTTAAAGAATATATACAATCTACAATGAAAGAAAGGAATAGAGCAGACAAAATAAGATGAGCACCTCGAGCCTAAATGATAAAATTATATAATTACTATAGTTACAACACATTACGATAGATTTAACAATATAAAATATAATAAATATATTACCGTTGAGATCAAATTAGACGACGAATGATTTTTCACAAGAAAAGCTATTAAAGATATGCTCCATATATCAGAATATTGCGTTAGAATCAAAGTCCTATTCATTTGTCAAAATTGAATAATATTAATGTGGTAGATTCGCCAATTCTATCGCATAAATAGGTATAAGACAATTATGAAAAAATTTTATAATAAATTTAATCCAATTCTTCAATTACGAAAATTGTACCTCGAAGATTTTAGTCTTGATAGACCCATGAACCAAAAATACAGCTGTGCAGTATATATTATGGTATATAAAGCAACCTTTGGCCACTACAGAAATAATTGGATTAAAAAAAGAAAAGTTAAACGAAAGACATAAATAGAAAATTGTAAATAGGGTACCTTCGTACTACTGAGAGCTTTATGACCACCCATGAAGTTCTGCCAGGCTAATAGTATTAGGCCAGCACCACATAGGACACCAAAAGTGACAACGGAAACCGGAGCACCACATAATAAAAACCATTCACGTGCTATGTGAGTTGAAAAAGCAAATATTATCTTTGAAAAAGCAAGAAAAGCGAAGAGATATAACGGTATACTATCGAAAAGGAATAGATCAAGAGGTTATTTAATAATTGGATACACCAATCCAATGCATGAATAATTAATAAATTACATACTTTGAAGGAATTCGACCATTGATTTTATCAATATTTATTGTGCTTCCACGTTTCGTGGGAATAGAAGAAAATTTCGTATCGTTCATTGAAAACTTGCTAAAATGGCACCTTGAAACCGTTTATAATTTTATAGGTGGCACAATATGGGTAATATCCGCCGATTTGCGGAATGCATACAGCGCCTATAGCCAATCACAAGATCAGAAATACGAAAAATCATATATGCAATTAGAAAAGCCACCATTCTTTATTCAAAAGGGTTGTTCTTGGCCAACACATGACAGCTTACCAAGCAAAATGGGGAAATAATTTCTTTAAAATCACTCATTGTCATTAGCTATAACGATCATTTTTTAATTTATACAGATTACTGCAGGATGTATCTTACTCCCAAAAAAACCACCACAAATTGTCATAGTAAAGTTCATTCAACATGAAAAAATAGGTTATATGTAAAATAACGGTTCCAGCAAATAATCTGAAATTCATTAAAAGACATTATTATCACGAGCGTGTGCAATGAATTGAGTAATATCATTCGATTCATTTTATTCGCACGAATCGAATGATATGAAATCGTTAGATTTTAACTGTCATAATATATAAATAAATACTTTAAAATCAAATAAAAATTTTCCTTATTAAAATAATAAAACAAATATTGCTTATTTATGCATTGGGAATTTTTAGGACCGATTAAAATCTAACAAGCACAAGACATCTCTCCTCATAAAGGCTGTTTATAATAAAAATTATAGCGATAGTAAATTTACTATAAACTTTGAGCCAAAGGTCTTTTGTAACTTACCTAAAAAATTGAATTTTGCGATTATATAAAACGCAACTTTGCCAAAAATAGTTATTCTTTGATTTATTAAAATGATTATTAAAATGATTATTATATGTAAAAGTATGTTTTGACCGATTTTACCTAGAAAGGCAAAAGTAGGTTGTCTTAACAAAAAAATAAATTAATTATGTACTAAAGTTGATTTTTTTTTATTTATCTGTATTTGATTTTTTTTTACTAAAATTAATCTATTTTAACATTTTAAATGAACTTCAGTATAAAATTATATATATACGTATATATTGATTAAAATATATTTTTTGGAACTTTTTATTAAGTAAAAAATAAATTTTTTTTTTGTTTTTTTTCATTGTATTGCTATATCTCAAAAATGAAACTAAGCAACAAGGTCAGGTATCCTAAGTAAAAATGTTCAAAACTCGCAAAAACCTCGTGTAACTTAGAATTCAGACTATTATATCTAATCTCTGTCTTGATCTTAAACTGCATCTTAACTTTAAATTTTAGCAAAAACCTATATATATCACTATAGATGAACATTAGTTTTTTTTAAAAAATTGTGATTTATTTTTTATTTAGTAAAAGGCTTAAAAAAATACATACGTATAAAATTTTATATTAAATAAGTTTATTTTTATTTTTATTTTTTTAATAGTTTTGTTTTTATTTAAAAAAATTATATTATATATATTAATATCTTATAATATAATTGTTTAATCTAACTAGTTATAAGATATTTGAATAATAAATTTGTTATTATTAGCTAAATTAAATAAAAATATTGCTTAATTTAATATAAATAAATGATTAAAAAATGTGTTTAGATATAATTCTTTTTAATAATCTTTTAGCCAATAACAATAAATTAAATTACAAAAAATATTATAATAAAATATAAGAAAACAATATTTTTAGTTTTAGTAAACTCAACAAATATAAAACAAATAGCAAAAATTTAGTAATAACTAATTTAAACAGCATATTAATTTTTAATCTATTAATATATAAACAAATTTTATTAACATTAAACAATACAAAAAACTAAACTTTTAAAATATAGTTAAAATATAAACAAAAAAACAAGAACAACAAATCTAAATTTAACTTAGTTTAATATATAATAAATATAAGCTAAATAGAAATAATAATAATAAAAAACATAAAAAAATTAAAAAAAGATATTACAAAAACAAATACTAGTACAGAAATAAAAGAAATAATTAAATAAATAAAAAAACTAAAAATTAAGACAAAACAATAATATTAAGCATATATTTAATTAGCACAAGTAAAAGTAAAATAATTATAGATATTAAAACAAAATTAGTTAAAATAAATTGTAATAAAAACAATAAGCTTAAAAAAATTAAAAAATATTATTAGATAACATATTATAAGATATTAAAAAAACTAAAAAAATTATTAAAATTTAAAACAAATTAAAAAAATTAAACAAATTAAATCTTAAAATACTTTAAAGCAATTTTATTTAAAAGCAGTTTTTAATTGCCAAAGAATATAATATAAACAAACCAATATACAAAATTTATTAAAAAATATAATAAAAATAAAATTAACTATATTAAATAGATTATATATTTTTTTAGTATTAAGATAAAATCTTGCTTATATCTTTATTAATAATTTTAACTATATGTTATAGTACAAAAGTATTAAAATAAACTAAAATTATATATAACAAAATAAAAATTATATGCAAGAATAAGAGCTTAAACTAGCTTATCTGTAATCTAAACTAACTATAATAATTAAAACTTACTTAGATTTAAAGTACTAGTATATAGTTAGAAAAAATATTATATTTAATCTAGAGAATTAACTAAATGTTAAGTTTTCTAATTGCTTAACTAATTAGTGAATATATATTAGATTGTAAATAAAGTTAATCTGCAATACTGTATAGATATAAGTATGTATAAATTTGGTAATATTGTTTAAAGACTCTATATTGTTAAGTTTATATATTAGTATAACTAATATTGTTTTGATATTTGGATAAGATTTGGTTATATTTTTTCTAATTAGAGAATTTAATACAATATAGTTTTCAAATTAGTTTATAAATTTGTTTATTAATATATTAAAGTATTTAGATTGCTAATTGTAAAACTAATTATAAAAATATATTAAAGTTATAAATAACTTTAATAAGTAACTTAGATATGAGTCTTTTAAATATAATATTTATAAAATATAAGTTGTGTTAAAATAGTATGTAATCAAAACATAAATAATAATATAATTTAAAAGCTAATTCTTGAAGTTATGAAAATGATAAGTTCAGTTCAGTTTTGAAAAGTATTTGATTAACAGATAAATAGACAATATTAAAGAAAGTATTATATATATTAAAACATGTATACCAATATATAAATAAGTTAAAAAGATTACACTTGAAGTAATTTATATTAGTAAAAATAAAATAATATTTGTTATAAAAAAAAATTAAGTAATTAACTTATTTAGTAGATATTTAGTTTTGAAAGCTTTGAGTTAATTGAGTTTAAAACTTATATAAGAAAATATAAATTTTTAGTTATTATTAAAATAAAGCTAAAAAAAGATTTAGTTTATAAAATGATTTGGATAAGTCCATTTATTGTTTCTTTTTTTTAAGAACTATATTGCTAATATATATGCTTTGCATATATTTTTAAAAAAAAAATCTAGTTGGTAATTCAATAAAGTTTTGTTTTTATTATAAAATATGATAAAGATTATAAATATATATTAATATAATTAAAAATGAGTGCTTGGAAGAGTATATATTATTTTGGTAAGAAGTTTGCAAAATTGTTAAAAAGATTATTAGTATAAGTTTAAACTTTGTAAAAAAGAATTTGAAGATTAAAGAATTTACAAAGCTAAGCTATTTTTAATTTTATTTGTAATATTTACTGTATTTTGCAACTTATTTATTAATATTTATATAGACCCACAATCTGTTATTTCAAAATTTTATATACTATCTAACTAATTACAAAACCTTAACAAATTATTTAAATTTAGTATATAGTCTTTATAGTATACTTTTTTTAATATTATAAAGATAATGGCTATAAATAGATTTGAGCTAAGAATTTATAAATAATTTAATTGTGTTTATTAATTTGACCTTATCTAATACTTATAAAACATTGTTCAAATACAATATTAATAACAGAACCATCAGTATAAAAAGTAAAGTTATTATTTGTAAAATTAGATAAATATATGTTTTGAAGTTTATAAGTGCAATTATTTAGTTAAAAATTTTTCAAAATATTAAAGTTGTATTTAATAATATTAAAAAGTATAGAAGGTATATATAAAGAGTATTTAATAGCTATTAAATATATAAGATTAATGTAATTAGTATTAAGTTTAAGGTTATTAAAAGTTTTTCTAACTAAAAATATTATAAAGATAATTACAAATGTATTAATAGTATATATTTAATTAATTATATTTAAGTTAAGATAATATTCAGTATATAGTTTGCATTCAATAAATAAAAGTAAATAGTATTAGTTATAATCTAAATTAATGTTAACTTTTTAATATATAATTGAGAATGAGTTGGAGACAAAAATATATTTGTAAATTTTGTCAATAATGATTTTTTTTTATTAGAATAATAAATAAAAAGCCAAGATTTTTATTTTTTAGCAATAGGATATATATTATATATAAAAGAATTGGTAACATGTAATTAAAATATAATAAATTTTTTTTTTTTTTTTTAACCTTTGGCAGCCACAATGGTCAACCAGTCAGAAGTTTATTTATAAATGTTTAGTACAG